CACCCAGAGCAGGTTAAGTGTTCAGACCAAGGATGGTACTTCCCTCCACAATTATCTAAGTACTGTATTCATTTCTACCACACCCACATGTGGCTGCAACCAGCTCCTAAAATTCAACCAGAGCTTAACTATGACACCCACCAGCTACTGCTGGGAGACCAACGACCTCATCCCAATACATAACTTGAAACACAAAGCAGCCACCAGAATGCGGAGACAGAAGAACAAGATGTGGCAGTCTGCTTACTGGAGGGGTTCTCATCTCTGAATGAGCAAGCAAAGTCCTTTTCAGCAAGTAACAAGCAGAGTGCCACACAGGAGGCAGCAACAAAGCTCCTCCGCTCCGGTGGGCCTCCTGGCGGGCTCACCGTATACCTCCATCTTTGGGGGGAGCTAGCAGACTGTTTTGGAACGTTTTAGAATGCCGCGAGCAATGGAAAGAAGGCTGAGACAGTGGTTTCATGGTCCATTATCGGCCACCTCAGTCACACGCTATGAGAACCCAGGAACTTCCTCCTCAGACCTGGCCCCACCAGGTGCCCCCCACCTCAGTGAGCAGCATCACCAGCCAGCCAGCCACGCCTGGAACACACCAGAACACCTACATTCCCTGACCCCTTCCTCTCCCTGAGAACAAATCTATCTTCAAGTCCAATCCAGCGAGCCTCCTAAACATTTCTCCAACCTCTCCACTTCTCCCTCCCTACGGTCACCAGTCCGGTCCAAACCACTGCTCCTTCACCACCAGGGGCAACGTCCTGAGTCTCCCTCCTCTGCCCCACCCGCCAACTCAGCCTTCAAAACACAAGCCTGCTCAGGTCAAGCACTGCTTTGCACTCATCGGTGGCTCTGTTGCTTTTTTTTTAATCCCAAATTCCAGATCCCGTAAGCCCCGCCCAAGCTGGCCTCTGCCTACCTCTTAGGTGTCATCTGGCCACTCTCCGCAGACCTCAGATGTGCTGCCACCCTCCAGGTGAGCTCCCTTCTTCTACCACCACTTGGACGGCAGTGCTGAAGCCACTCCTAAGACGTAACAAGTGTTCTTCCCTCCCCCCGGCATCCAGCACATAGCACCTACGACACTGTGGCAGTTCTATTTCTTTTTCACATGGGTCTCCCATGTCTTCTCGTGTATTATATTCCTAACTCAGGTACAGCCCAGCACCTTGTAGGTAACAGGTACCCAATAAATACTTGAATCGATGAACAAGAAAACAGATGAAACAGAAAACCGATCACAGTCCCAGCCACCAGCCACTCGAGCCGAGCCTGGCACCTACAGCAGTAGTGAGAGGCCGAAAAGACCATGGAAGACAGCAAGCATCTCTGATGCCACGTGATCACAAGCAAACGGGCCAAGGGACCAGTCAGCCTCCTATTACCCAGTAATCCTTCTTCATTACTGTTCTATGCTATTTTCATTTTTAACAAGATAGTTTTTACTTTTTGAAGTAAAAACAAGACAAAACCCTCCAAAAATACTTCACTAAGAAAAACACAATCATGTTTGCAGTCACCTAACATGAGTTAAAAGGTATAAGAATCTAATTATGGTAAGGAATACATGCTTCTTAAGAGAAAACAGTAATCAAATCTTGGAATAATTTTTCTGTACCTTTCTATAGATGCGTAATCATACCTCCCCCCACCCGACCCCCCAAAAAACCTCCAAACCACTACACAGTAGAGACAAACACAATATTGGTGATTTAGGAACACCTTTGAGAGCTATGGTAGCATGGGTTATAGGGTTCTTAAGCCAAAAGGTGCTTCAGAGTCAGATGTAAGTAGGAAGAGAGCCAGACCCTTCCAGAACCAGCTCCGTCATCCAGCAAGGACCAATCCAGCATCTCCCTGCAGCAGCGCCCAGCTAGGCGCCAGCAAGACAACCATGACCGAGACTGCCCAGCAGTAACCGGGTGGCCAGCCAGAGGCAGCTCCTTTAATTAATCTCTCTGGGCTTCAGTTTCTTAATCTGTAAAACGAGAAAGTTCGACTAGCTCTGCAAGGTCCTCATGCTCTAAATATCCAAAGATTCACTAATAATCACAAGACGAATTTCTACTTGACAATATCATTGTGCTTTCCTGTTTATTATTTTTATCACACAGGTGTGGTTTCATTTAAGAATTTTAATATACTGATAGAATTTAAATATAAAAGAATGGCAGTAGTGTTTTTAATTACTTTCCCCACTCTTAACTACCACCAAGATCAGCTCTGGGCTTCTGCCATAATTGCAACCCAATCTAATACCCAAATTAGATCACTACATCTTCATTTTTTTGGTAGAAAAATTAAGTGATCACTTATTCCCAGTTTCTTTTATATTTTAACATCATCCATCATCTTTGAATGTCAGTTTCTTTAAAAAAACAAAAAACTAAGAATTATAAAGTTTTCCAGAGAAAAAGGAAAATTTTATCGTCCAGACTGATAAAACCCATAACGGTTTGGGAAACCTGGAAACATACAACACAAAATTCTCAATTTCTAAAAGGGCATAAAAAGAATACCCTTTATAAAGATATACAAATGTGTCCTTGTGAATGAAAAAGACAATTAAAGAATCACATAGGGCCAGTATGTTCTTAACATCATCCCCAAATGTCCCTTCCTACCTCCAGTGAATTTAGCTATGTGATCTATCCAAGCGCTAGTTTGTTTACATCTAGAAACCATCTGAATACTGGAATTAAGTCATTTTATTTCAAAGCTGAAATTTTAAGGTCATTTTTTGAAGTCAATCATTTTTTAAATGCTCAGCCCTGACTAAGCATGTTTATTCTTGTGATGCCTTATTTATAGTAGATGTTTATAAGATGGCCATGTATGGATAATAAAAGATGAATAACTATTACCTCCAAAGTTGACCTTGAATGTTAAATGTGGGTATCTGTGCACCTTTAAAAGGCCCTCTCCTGCTAGACGGTGAACCCTCTGAGGGAAAGCATTGCCTTTTATCTGTCTTTTTACACAGTGGAAACTCACCAGTGATTGCTGAATCCAAAGTAACCGAATGCATGCTGACCGCACGACAGGCCAACTTTCTTAAGCACAGGGAATAAAATGCTTTCCATCCAGGTTTGAAATGCCTACTCTAACCTTGGCACTGAGATTGCTCCCATGGGTTACATGGCATGTATACCTAGGCACTCTATTTTCTCATAGATGAAAATGCGTTTTTTCTTTTGACCTAAAGGATTAAAAAATATACTACAGGTAATACATTACTGACTGTATCTGTATGAAGAAAAACTTGTAACATTTCTTTGATACAGTTTTATACACGTACTCCCCATGGTATTCATTTTAACTCAATACTCTGGTGGAAAAGTTCTGGAAATAGTCCTGTAAGCCAAAGTGATTAACAACTAGACCAAGTACAGGAGAATCTATGAAAGTACTGTTTCAAAACCAAGTTACAAGATCTGCTATTTTAAACTCAACTTACATATTCTCAACTTGGAGAAGACGTGTTATTTTTTCCTCGAAAGAGAAAAATAATGCTTGAGTTTTTAACTATCACCATCACCTATAAATGACTTCTCTATCCTGACTTTCACCTTAAGACATAGAAAAGGAAGCAATTATTTTAACTGAGTCAAAAATAATTTCACTGATCAAACCAATATAATTAGAGTTTAGAATTCATATACCAGTCCCTTTATTATTATTCTTCTTTTCTTATCAAGAAACTCATTTGAATCCTGAAAAACCTAGAATTCACCAAGCTTCAATTTACTGATTTGCACAGAGGGAGGAAAAAAAATAGAAAATATCAGCAGACTATAAATAATGAAGTCTAAAGTGCTAGAAAACAATTCTTGAGTGTTATAGTGATGAAATTCACCTGTTACAAGCCTCACAAAAATTCATTACCTCCCTTGATCTGGTTACCAAGGGGGAAGGGAGGATGTCATAATTTCACTATTTGGTGGGAACAAGAAAACTTAAGTTTCTAAAATTTGCTGCAAGTCCCTTTCCACTTCCAAATTCTGTTTACTTTGTAACTTTTTTCCACAGTCCAGATTTTTCAGGAAAAAGAAACTTTTCCTGAGCAAGTCTGGAAGACATAAAATGTCTCCCACTTACTAGCACCTAGAAAGGCAAACCCAGTCCTGCTCCGTGCCCCAAGCATCTAGCTTTCAGCCTCTTTATTATCATTGTCAATGAATGGGCCCCAGTCAAATGAAAGCTGCCATTTTAGGGTAAAGACTGGAGGGCTTCTGTTGTGCAACAGCAAGACAAAAACACTCCGCGACAGATGTCGCACTCCGGGGGCTGGGAGGAGGGTTCAACTTCGGAGAATCACTGCTCGAGTTATCTCTGAAATAAGAATTACCTACGATCACACGTTGCTACTACCTAAATGGAATTTTAACTGGAATAAATCGGGTTCCCATGCTGCTAAGATCACAGTCACTAATTTTTTTCTTTCTTTCTTTTTTGCCATCGTCAGAATAGATCTGTGAGGAAATAAAGAGAAGTTTGTTTGGTTTTGCTTTTTTTTTTTTTAAACTATTTGATTATTACGTTTAGGGAGTACTCCCCCCTCCCCTTATCGGGAGAGAATTGGGGGGATGGGGGGGGGAAGAAAGCACACACTCCACCTCTTTGAAAGGTGCTGCCCACTGCAAAGACAGTGTGAATTACAATTTTTAAAAATAAAAATCAGGGCCTTCACATAATCCTTTAGAAATAAATGAAAATATTTAATACAGCTGCGAAATCAAGCCCAGAGGATCGACACATTTCAAGATGAGTTCTCTAAATCGACGGCGAGGTAATATACAATGGGAAACTAGAAAGTATACTTAGCAAGTGGCGAGCTGGATAGTGTATCTAATTCTAGCAATTCAAAAGCAAAGTCTCCATGTGGATTGCCACTTTTCTTTTGTCCATTGTCTGTTCAGAAGAGGGGGGAAAAAAAACTAGTTTAAAATCGAGGCGTGAACAGCCTCTAAAAGTGACCTCCGGGAAAACCGGCCGCCCGGTAGCAGAGGCACTCCCCGCCCGGCCGCTCCCCGGGGGCGCTCACAAAGCGGGCGGCCGGCCGGGAGTTCGGGGTGCGCTCCCACGGCGCGGGGCTCCTCGAGGCTCAGCCATCCGGAGAAAGGCGGCTCGGTAATGATGGCTGCTCGGGGCCGGCGGCTCCTTCCCCGGAGCCTCCCGACCCCCCCCCCCAACCCCCGCGCCCGGGATCGCCGCCCTCCCCCCTCCCCCGGGCGGCGCTCGCCCCGCGCCGACGCGGCCGCCCCGCACGGCAGCCCAGCGGGTGCCCGCGCCCCTGCACCCCCGGCGAGCCCCGTCCCCGGTGCCGACCAAACAAACAACGCGTCCCCCGCCGCCCTCCTTCCTCTCCCCGCTGACCGCTTGGCCTCCAGCCACTTCGACCGTTCACGCTCCGAGCCGCGGATCTCTGCGGGGGCAGAGCGCACCCGAGCCACCTCGGGGGCCACCTAGTGACCCCCCCCCGCCGGGGGCGCTGACCCCCGGGAGGCTCAGGGGTGGGGGAGCCGAGTTGCCTCCGGGGGCTTAAAGTCGCTATTATGCAGCCGCCGCCGCCGCTGGCCCGGCCAGCTCGGCAAGGTGGGGTCCCCTCCTCGCCGCGCCGCCCCGCGCCCGCCTCGGCCCCGCTCCCTTTCTTCTCCTCCTCGCGAACTTGGGGAGCCCCGGGAGCCCCCCGGCTCCGGGCTCGCAACTCCGCGCCCGCGGCCGGCACCGGCCGGGCTCGGGACGCCCCCCGCGCCGCGTGTTCGCGCCACCCCCGCCCCACGCGGCGCCCCGCGCACTTTCCCCGCCGCCGACCCACCTCGCCCGGTGGCCGTCCCCGCGCGGGCCGGCGGCGCCGCCGCGCCGGGAGGGACGCACTTTGTTCGCGCCGGTGCGGCCGCCGCTCCCGGCGAGCGCGGCGTGGTCGGTCCCGGGCGGGGGGCGGGGGTCGCCGCCGTCCCCGAGCCGCCGCCGCTCAGCCGCCCCGCGCCCGCGCGCCCATCGCCCACTCGCACTGGAGTTGCAGCCCAACTTTTCCTCCTTCCTTTTTCTTCCGAATGGAGCCGGCAACTCGTGCTCGGCGCCGGCGGGAGGAAACGCGCTCGCGCTCCCCCGCGCGCAGACACGCTCCCTCCTGTCCCCCGTCCCCCCCCCACGGCCGGCAGCACAACAAAAAGCCATTTACATGCGAGGAAGTGACCCTCGGCCGGACCGCGCGCCCCCGCCGCCGCCAGCCCCGCGGACGCAGGCAAAAGTTGGGGCGCCGGGCGGCGCTCGGGGCGCGGGTTCGGGCCCCGCGGCGGCGGCGCTGCGCTCCTGCGCCCGGCCCCCGCCCGTCCTCGCCCCTCGCCCCGCACACGCCCAACTCCTCGCTCCCAACTCCTCGCGCGGCCCCGGCCCCCGCCCGGAGCGATTTCCTGCCGCTGCCGCCCCTCCCGGAGGCGCCCGGCGAACTCTCGCGCTTACCGGGGCGGGCGGGCTCCTCCGCCGCCCGGTGCCGAGGGGGGTACAAAACGCAGAGCGGGCTCCGGAGTTGGCTCGGCGGCCGCGGCCAGGGGGCTGGATCCTCGGGCGCGGAGTTGGCCGGGGGCGAACGGGGCTCTGGCGAGTTTCAGGGTCTCCGGGTCCCCAGGCCGCCTCCTCCGCGGCGCTCCTTTGTGTAATTTCACTCGATTCAAGTTTAATCCGATAGTTCCCGAGCACGAGCGCGTCCGCACTACCGCGGCTCAACCCCCGCGCCGCCGCCGCCGCCACCGCTGCCGCCGCCGCCGCCGCCGCCGCCGCCGCGGCCCCTGCACGCCAGCGCCTGCGCGCGCCCGGCACGCCGCGCGCGCCCGAGGCCGCGGGGCCGCGCCCGCCCGCCGCCGGCTCCCTCCGCGCCGCGCCGCGCCCGCGCGCCGCCACCTGACGTCAGGCGCGCCTGGCATAATTTATGCAAGAATTCGGCCGGGGTGGCGGAGGCCGAGGGAGAGGCCGAGAGAAAGGGGGCGGCGCGGGGCTGCGGGGCCGCGGGCCGCGAGGGCGGGCCGGGCGCCACTTCCCGTCCCCGGGCGGGCGCCGGCGCTGCGGACGGCTTTCCCCGCGGGCCCGTGCGCGGCCGCCGCGCCGCCCTCCCGGCTCGGCTCCCCGAGGGGTCTCTCGCGCCGCGCGGCAGCGCCCGGGGCGCGGGCTGGAGACGGTGCCACGTTTCCCCGCGCGGCACCTTCCCGGAGTCCGGGTGCGCCGCCCGCAGCAGGAAGGGCGGCCCGGCGGCGGCGGGGCCGCGGGGAAGGCTTGCGACGCTGCGCGGACGGACCGCAGCGACTTGGAGGGTTGGGACGTCTCTCCTGTAATTATCCTTCAACTTGGAACGATTTTCCCACAGGAAATTATTTAGAATGGGCACGTTTCTGTCCATTTCAGATACATTTCTCTTGCCTCTGCACACTGCTGGTCTTACCTCCTCGTTGACAGGACAGCCGGATCCACCGCTAAATCAGAAAGTTTAACTAGATGGCGTTGATTTTGTTGAATTTGTTGCTTTGCCAAAAAAAAGGGAGAGAGAGCGCAATGATTATGAAACAAAGAAATAGGTTGTGTGCCCATTATTAAACATGTCAGGACTAGAGTGTTTTAATCATTCTTTGGCCAAAATGGCACTTTTGTATGATCGCCTAGCCTTAAATACCCAATTCTCTTATTCTGTTTCCCTTCCCGGTGCAAAATGAATATTAAACCAGGAGAAATTTACTAATTTTCTTTTCAGGAAATAGATCTACCAACCTTTATCAAGTACCTTTTATCTGCAAAATACCAAGCAATTGTAAATTTTTAAACCGTCAACAGTTGTACACATTAAGAGGACTTTATTAGGTTAAAGATTACATTTATTTTCACATCAAGAAAGGAACTTTTATCAACCAAATAGGGACCTATAACAGATACAGAGGAAAGCCAATTGCTATTAATGGACTCCAAAACAAACTCAGAAAATATAATTTCTCTTCATTCAGATCCTGTAGAGCTAAGGCTATCACAATATATTTCTTTGAAGCAAAGATTAATCAAAACTCTTTTGTTACATTACTACTACAACTCTTCAATAACTTAAGTTTGATTATCCTAGATTTTAATCACTCAAACATTTCCTAACATTAGTAATGATTTTCTAAATATGTGTTATACTGTCATTTATTGAAATGCACTGGTTTGGGCTTTTTTCTATCACACATTTAAATGGTCTTTTGAAACAGGTAAATGTTTCATTCAAGAAATGTACAAATAAACAGCAGAAAGAAGGCTGATCTTACAGAAAAAATTTATCTTATGTTAAAAAATTAGGAAACACTAAAGTCAACTTCTGTCTTTTTTTATAGTTCATTTCATAAACCAAGAATCAGAATTCTGAGGTCAGGTTTACATTTCCATTATGTTTGCATCTCTCAGTGAAAGCATATGGGGAATGCTTGGGGGTGTGGTGGGTGGGTAGGGGTGAGGGTGGGGTTAAAGACGGAACACATGTCTGCAGAGAAATCACTAGTAACAGATCGTGTTAGAGGACTCAAATGTGGCATAAAAGGGTTTATCTCTATCCTTTACAGTATACCCAGCTTTCTGTCAGATGTGGGTATATTCAAGTCAATTTACCAACTTTTAAAAAAATGATATCTACATAAAGTAAAAGTATACTGTGCTGTGCTCAGTCTTATCCAACTCTTTGCAGCTCCATGGACTGTAGCCCACCAGGCTCCTCTATCCATGGAATTCTCCAGGCAAGAAAATTGGAACGGGTTGCCATTTTGTACTCCAGCGGGTCTTCCAGACGCAGGGACTGAACCTGTGTCTCCTTTGTCTCCAGCATTGGCAGGTGGGTTCTTTACCACTAGCACCACCTGGGAAGCCCAAAAATATATTAGTTAGCCTTTAATTAACAAATAGGTTTGACTATGAGGAGGTCCCCCCATGCCCTTGTATATTTAACTAGAAAGTGAGGACACGTCCCTTTGAAATATATGAAAGACTGTAATATAGTACAACCGAAGCTCAAGGTGGAGACCAGCAGTCCTACAGCCCCTCTCTGGTTAATCTCCCTCCTGGTTCCCACGGGACGGAGGAGTCTCTAAGCTCTCGGAAGTGGTTAACAGTGCAGAGCTGTGGGGCCTTGGAAAGCGAAAGGCCTCAGGGTCAGACTCCTAGGCAGTCCTAGCTAGGAGTCATAACCTCTCCACCCCCTCCCCACCCTACCCTTTACCCGCCAATGTTTTCTCTCCATTTGCTTCACTATTGAAGTTTTCCCATTGAGAATAATTTGAATTCCCAAGCTTTCCCTTTGAGTATGCAAATACCTTAGGGACAGATAAGGGACTCCTCCTGGTCATTCACAGATGAGTGCAAATTAGTTCAGTGGGTTGTTCTCCTCCCAGCACCGAGCTGGGACTAACAAATTCAGAGATTTCTTCATTCATTCAACTTTGAGTGTCTGAGAAGTTCCAGGCCTTGTGCTAGGCGCTGGAGATACAGTAAGAACAGAACGGACCAAGGTTCCTGCCCTCGTGGAATGTAGGATCTAATGGGCTGGTGGGTTTGATTTAGTGCTAAGAGAAAAGGGTAACTTCAGAGTCTCAGTCCCTAGGGAATAGACAGGCTTGAGTTCACTGTAGCCACAGGGCAGAGGAAGGGTGCAAGAGGCCTGGAGGTGGGCCTAGAGGTGGGATGGAGTGGGTGCCCCCAGCAAACTGTTGAGAGAAATTCCAGGGACAACTTGACCTGTTACAAAAAGGTTTTCTAGGCCCCATGAAATGAATGAAAACAGTCTTTCAGGAACTCAAAACTAATGCTACCTGACCTACAGTGTATCTGCCTTACTGCTTAGATAAATATATATTTGTCTCTGGGAACATAATAATAATGTAACAATCTCTAATACCCAAATTTTATTTAGAACACACTCAATTGAAAGCTGTCTGCTTTTCCTTATCTGTTCTTCTGAATTGTTAAAATCAATTACGCTAGTCAGTTACACCAATTCCAGTGTTGAGGACTTACCTGATGCATTTTTGGAACTCATCTTTTGAAACTGTGTTCAGAGCCAACTTGTAAGTCATAGAAAGTAACCCTTTTTAGTGCCCAATTTCTTTTTTCCACTAAAAACTATATTATTCTACTTTATCATTGATCAAATTTGGTTCCAAATGATTTTGGCAAGCTCCAGAAGGGTATTTTGTCATTAAATGATGATTTGCTGTCGTTGGAAATATATAGAATTTAAATAGTATATGTGATAGCTATTCACAAAATTTTAAAAACTTGACTATAATAAATTCTGACTGAGTATGTTTAATCCATAAAATTTTTTAAAAAGAAAAGATAGAGAAAAATAAAGCTATAGGTATTTAGAGGGCTATAAATGCTGAAGAAAGCACCAAAAAGAGAAGCCTGAAAAGCATTTCCTACATCACTGGAAGGACAGCATAACCTTCCTAGCTGATGCTTTTTATGGGGGAAAGAATCTGGTTGGATGTGCAAGTTCAGCCTCCATATTCTACTGGTCATGGGCCTGGCTGCTACTGCCTTTGCTAGCAACCGTCCAGATTAGAATGGTGAAGCCACCAGGTGAAAAGAAGCCACTAGGGCTGCAATCAGGCCACTGTTGGCTCCCTAAGAGAATCATGAGTTGTTTTAGCAAATGCTGATCCAGCGCCTACTATGTGGAGGTCACAGCGAGCTCCCTGTTGACATGGAGTTCATGCTCGGTGGCAGCGGAAACAAGGGAGTGGTTCTGGCTGCTGGGACAGCAGAACAGGCTTCCTCGAAGAAAGGGGGCTTGAAGATTTCCTTGGAACAAAGAGAGCAGGATGGATGACCACGAGGTCCAGAGGTTTCAAAGCCTGGTGAGCAGAGGTCACTGCAAGTGGTTCCATACTAAGTGGCACATGGAGGGCGGGTCCTGCTTGGTCTTCTCTGAGCCCCCAAGATGGCTGGCTGTCCTCTCATCCATTCAATACTTGTCCCCATTAATACTGGTTTACACTAAATTACAATTCATTCCTATCTTTTCACTGGGTTGTAAGCTACTTGGGGACACTGGCTATGTTTTGTCCTTTGGCATCCCCAAGTGGCACAGAGCCTTCACAGAAAGGTACCCAGTGAATGCTTACCTGCTTACAGAAATGGTAGAGTCAGGGAGTGGCAGATTAGACTGGAGAAGTAGGCAGGACCAAGGAGAGCCCTTGATTGAACCCAAAAGCCATGTGGGGGGTGGGGGCTCACTGAAGACTTCAGAGAGTCACAACTCAGATCTTTCCTTTGAAAGACCTCTGTGATGGGGTGCAGACAGTGGGAAATAGGACCTGAAGCAGGGAGAAAAAGAGAAGAAACCCTCATAAAGCAAGAAAAGGGAAGAAATAAAATTCCACACTTCCTGTGTTATTGTTCAGACTCAAGTTGTTCCTAAATGCTTGTCACATGGGCCGTCATCCCACAAGAAAAGAGAGCAGCATGGTGGACCACTCGCCCTGTGATGGAAGAAGGTGGTCTCAGTCTGAAAGGAGCACTGCTGGGGGCATGGAGGCAGTGGTCCCAACACAGCCCCGCCACCCACCTGGAACAAGGCACTTGCCTCCTCTCCCCTCAGTTACCAACTCCAACTTCTGTGACTTATCACCAGACTTATCCTAAGTCACGTTCAAAACACTTAAAGTCTCCTGTCTCTATTTTGAGACTAATAAATGGAAAGCCAAGGTGCTAACTTAGCCAAATATAAGGCACTTTAACAAAACATTACAAGTGGGAAAATACAGTGTCTTATTTATTCAGTAATTATTGAACGCTTGCCATGTATCAGACACTGTGCTGGGCACTGTGAAAACAAAAATAAAGCCACCCCTACCCTGGAGGAGCTCTCTGACTCTATCAGGGGTGACAGATATTCAAGCACATCACCATAATTTAAAAAATGTGTACAGTCGTGGTACTACTGGGTACATGATTGCTCAGAAGAGATGCCTCATTTTGCTTCTGCCCAGAGAGGCAGGGGAGGCTTCACAGAGGATGTGACATTTAATCTGAGTCTTCAAGGACTCTGCAGATGGCAGGGGAGGGGAGGTACCAGGCAGGAAAACTGTCTGAGACATCCATGGGGCAGATGGCTAGTGTCGGCACTGTGAGTAATTTGGCTCAGAGCACAGTATACACAGGGAAAGAGCAGAAAATGACAATGGAAATATGAGGAAGCCCAGGTCAGAAACGGTTTAGTAGCATATTAAGAACTATTTACCTTATTCCATAGGTGAGGAGCCACAAAAGGATTTTCAGCTGGAAAATGA